TATCCATATCTCCCTTATTAAGGCCTGTTACCTACTATTCTTCTCCTTCAGGTTATTTCTTTTCCTTTACCTCACTGTTTCCTTATCCTTGTCCTGGTTCCTGCAGTTATGTCACAGAGATCCACCTGCCTCTGCCTCCTAAGTGCTGGAACTTCAGGTGTGCGCCACCACACCTGGCTGAAGCACTTTTTAAAAAAATACTTAATTTTATGTGTATGAGTGTTATGCCTGCATGTATATAAGTACACTTGTGCAATACCTGTGGAGGTCTTGAATATTCTGGAACTGGAGTTACAGATGATTGTTAGCCACCATGTGCGTGCTGGGATTTGAACCCGGGTCCTCTGCAAGAGCATCCAAAGCTCTTAACTGCTGAGCCATCTCTCCAGTTCCCTGTACATTTTTTAATAGATATTTTTTATTGAATTTTTGTGCATTTCATGCAAAATATCTTAATCTTATCTTTATACCCCCTCCCTCATCTGCACCCCTCTATAGCACCAGATTGCATGCATTCTGTCCTATATGTTAAGGACTATCAAGTTAAATTAGTACAAGTTCATCTAGAATATTTCCATTAAAGAAGATCAGCTCCCCCTCACCCAGTAGTAATCGACTGCCAGTAGTTCTTCGGCTAAGGTTGGGACCTACTACCCATTTCCCCAGTTCTGTGCTGTGTTTTTTTGAGTTTGCTTAGTTCTTGTGCATGCTGGCACTATTGTTTTTAAGTTCATATGAGTAAGGTCCCAGAAACATATAAGACTCCTTTTCCTTATAGTCATGCACCTACTCCCCTAAGCTCTTAACAACTTTTCCACCCCCTCTTCTGCAATGGTCCCTGAGCCCTGGGTGGGTGAAGTTTAATATAGGACTGTCCTGGGACCCACATTCTGCAGACTCTTACTCTCTACCCTTTGGCCATTTGTGGCCTTTTGTGTTCATCACCCTCTGTTGCATGAGGGAGCTTTGTTGATGAGAGTTGAGAGATAGATTAGTATTCTCTCTACCCTTTTTTCCACTATGTTCTGTGAGTCTTAGGTGTAGAGGTTCCATTGTAGATGTGTCACTTAGAGCTGGGCATCTCACAAACACTTATTCTCTGTGTGCGACCAGTTGTGGAACTCTAATAGTCTCTATCTGTTGCAAAAGAAGCTTCTTTGATGAGTGGTAACTGGCATACTTTTCTGTAAATATAAGGGTCCATATTTAGTATATAGTAAGAAATTGCATTAGTCTAGGGATGTAACAGCCTTAGGGTTTTCTCTAAGATCTAGACCTCTCCAGCCATGTGTATTTGGCTATGTTTACAGTGCCATACATGAGTTTCCTCCATTGAGTGGGTTTTGAGTCCAATTAGGTAGCTGTTGATTAAACCAAAGATAAGAGTGCTACTGCTGACTGCTCTTCGAGAGGACCTGGGTTCAATTCCCAGTACCCACATGGCAGCTAACAGTCATCCATAACTCCACAGGCATTGCACGACATGGGTACACTTGCACACATGCAGGCAATACACTCACACACATAAGATGAAAATAATAAATAAAAAAATTTCAAGGCCATCTTGGGCTATATAGTGAATTTAAGACCAGCTTAGGCTACACGAGACCCTATCTCGAATAAATAAATAAAATATTAAATTAAGAAGTATTATCCAACTTTGTGTATTTGAGTATTTTTATTTTTAATGTAAAATCAAAAAGCAATTGCAGACTGGACATGGTGGCACTGTAACCCCAGTACTCAGGAAATAGACAGAATCAGAAGTTTAAAACTAGTCTGGGCTATGTGAGACCCTCTAAAAAAAAAAAAGAAAAAGAGAAATAAAATCAACTACATTGATGAGCTTTACAGAATAAAGAAGAAATACTTGATTCATTAATTATTGTGAGACTAAGAATAAAAGAAGGTAAGAAAAACATTAATTGCTACATTAATTGGTATGATGTTTTAATTTAAGGTTTATGATAGTGTATTTTTATGAGTAATATCCATTTGAGGTCATAAAGCATAAAATGCTAATCTGTAGGTCATTTTATTTGAAAATGGAAATACTCATGTCTCATCTTTTAGCATGTAATTTTAGGAAGCCAATGCATGTGTGAACTTCGCAAAGAATAAATAATATATGTTAAAAAAAAAAAAAACCTGCTACTACTGCACTGATAGAGGTAGTTTGTTGTAAGCCCAAAGTAGTGACACATGCCTTTAGTCCAAGCACTTAGGGGACAGAGGCAGGCAGATCTCTGAGAGTTCAAGGCCAGCCTGGTCTACATAGAGAGTTCCAGGCCAGCAGGGACTACAGGGAGATCCTGTCTCAAAAAGACCGAAAAAATAGTGTTTTTTTGTGCTGGTCATTGTTGTGGCTATTAGACTTTAAAGCTGGGGTTGGTCCATTGATTGCTTTTCCTTAGCAGCTTTCATAATGTCCTCTAAAACGATGAGAGGTAGTTTTCAGGGGGGAGCCTTCCAGGTCAGTTCCTGCTCCATTGTTCCAAGTCTTGTGTCTGAAGTATGTCCTGTCTTCAGCAATAGGGTCTTACCTTCAAGTTCTAGGGGGCAGTCGAGGACTGACAATAGCCTGTGTAATTTTGTGAGTCTCTTGGACTATCCTGGCCAACAGCTCGAAGGGAGGTATGCTGGATAGCGTTAATGTCAACTTGACACACCTGGGTTGAGGGAGCCTCAACTGGGGAATTGCCTCCATTGGACTGGCCTGTGGCCATGTCTGTGGGGCATCTTCTTGATGAGTGATGTGGGAGGGCCCAGCCCACTGTGGGTGGTGTCACCCCTGGGCAGGTGGGCCTATGTTGTATAAGAAAGCAGGCTGAACAGGGGCCAGAGGAGCAAGCCAGGAAGCAGTGTTCCTCCATGGCCTGTGCTTCTGTCTCCGGGTTCCTGCCCTGAGTTCCTACCTTGGGCTCCCTGAAGAACCGTGACCTGAGAGATGTAAGCTGAATAAACCCTTTCATCCCCAAGTTGGTATTGGTCAGAGTATTTTGTCACAGCAGTGGAGAAACAAACTAGGACAGGAGATTTCTTCTCTTTGGCAGTCTTGTTATATAGCCTTCAGCTATACACATGTACTCATGTACAGATACTGTATGTGTAATTTTTAGTAGGCTTTGGAACTAGTACATTTCCCTCCTCCTGTTTTTCACACCAGCTAAACATTATTGACTTCTCCTCTCTCCCTGTCTAACCCTCCCTCTTCCCTTTCCAGTTAAAGTACCCCCATTTTCCCCATTTTACCCTTGACAATACCTCTCTCCTGTGATTTCCCCATCTCTTGGTCTCCTTCTTCCCCTTTACCCCTGCGCTTTCTTGTATAACCCTCCCTCTACCCCTCCCAGTTAAATACCTACATTTTACCCATTTCCTCCTTGGTAACACCTGTCTCCTACTCTTCCTTTCTCTGAGGCTCCTTCTTTCCCTTTATCTCCATGGTTTCTTTCTATTTTCTTGGCTCCTGCAGTTACATCAGGATATATATTGATCTTGTGTCTTTTTAAAAAAGTTTATTTATTTATTTGTTTTATTATTATTGTGTATGAGTGTATTGCTTGCATGTGTATCAATGCACCCATGTCATGCAGTGCCCTTGGAGTTCGGAAAAAGGTACTGGATCCCCTGGAACTGGAATTAAAGATGGTTGTCAGCCATCATGTAGGTGCTGGGAATCCAATCCAGGTCCTCTGCAAGAGCAGTCAATGCTCTTAAGCACTGATCCATCTCTCCAACTCAAAAGTTTTTTTTTTATTTTATGTATGTGTATGAGTGTTTCGGTTGCATGCATGTAAGTGTACCTGTGCAGTGCAGTGCTCAAGGAGGCCTGAAGAGGGCATTGGATCTCCTGGAACTGGAGTTAAGGACAGTTGTTAGTTTCTATGTGGGTGCTGGGAACCAAACCGAGGCCACTGCACGAGCAGCCAGTGCTCGTAACTGCTGAGCCTTGAGCCTGTGTCTTGCTAAGTGCTAGAGGCATACAGAGCTGCTGGCAGTAACAGTTGTAGAACAACGGTGTTATTATAGTCTGGGTGAGAGGGAGCAGAGCTGAGGAGGAATGGATAGATTTGAGGTGTTAGTCGGACTGACTGACTGAGTGAATGAATGAGTGAGTGGAGCAGAGAGAGTGGTGAGAAGGCTAGATGATTGGATGGGGATCCACCCGCCGTCTGTGCTGGGATAAGGGGAAGGAAAGAGCAGGGGCTGTGTGAGTATGTGTGAGCACACCAATATATGTGTGAGTACACCAGTGTATGTGTGCATATGTGTGTATATTTCACACTTTGACTATAGCCCATAGTAAGAAATTAATGCTACATTCGGAGCTGTTACCCATATCTGTGTACCTGTATCTGTAAATAATAAAGGTCCAGACACATTTACTAAGGTCAGACCCTTCTCAGAGAGTCCCTGTGGATTACATTGCTCCTTACAACCATGTGAGGTGTTTGCACTGTCTTTGCTTTTTAAGTGGTGACCCCTTGGCCCATTCAGATAACTGTGGAGCTGGCATTTGAGCCCAGCCTATGGCTCCAGACTGTTTGCTATTCACCACTTCTCTAGGCTCACTGTAACAGGAGATACTTAGCATTGAAATAATCCTGACCACAATGCATGTGATGCTCTCTGACAGTAGCTATCCTGTTCTGTTTCATCCCTAAAACACTGGCCAATACCTCACAAACTCCTCCATTCCAGATGTTCCTCTCTACTCAAGGCTCCATAGACTTTACCTGGATAAGCACAGAAATGTGTTAACTTTTCCTACACACACTCCTTTTTTAATGTATGTCTTTGTGTATGTGTGTGTGTGTGTACCTGTACTTGCCTCTTTGTGTATGCTGGTGCACACATGCACGTGAAGGTCAAACGACAACCTTAGCTATCCCCAGGAACATCATCCACCTTCTTTGACAGAGTCTATCAATTGGCTTGGAGTTCATCAATTAGGATAGACCAGGCTTGCCCAAGAGCACTAGGGATCTTCCTGTTTCTGCCTCCCCAGGACTGCACACACTATCATATGTGGCATTTTTACATGGATTTTGGGGATTGAACTTAGGTCCTCATGCTTGTGAGGCAGTTCTTTACTGACTGAACTACCTTTCCAGCCACTATGCATTCTTGCTCTCCTTGAATGCATTCTTCTTGCTGAGACTGAAGTAATTTGAAAAATTACATCTGACTATATAAGTCTCCTGACTTAAAATTCCTCAGTACACCCATTTCTGTAAGGTGCTCAGTGCTAGACATGGGCAGTGACTGTGAGTTAAGGACTGACTCTGTGTGTCTTTCCCCAGGATGAAGGTCTTCTCCCAAAGAAATATTTTGAAGTCGACTTTCCAATGATAGTCACAAGAAAGCTGCACATCATCAAGTAAGTGTGCTTTTGCTGGACCAGCCAGCTAGGCAAGACCCGGCTCTTGGTGTGGTGGGTTTGGATGTGAAAGGCCTCATCTGAGGGTGCTGCCTTCCCTCAATTCACCTTTCTTGCCCTGGGACCTTCATGCAACACACTGTGTACCTTCCCTGTGACTCTCCTTACCCATTAATTTCTTTGAACTTTTTTTTTGATTGAACTTTTAAAATTTCATACATTTCCCACTCAAATCCAGACCCCCTCCCTCATCCATACCTCTCCCATCCCCCCACTAAACCCTGTGCACTGTACCATACATGCTGAGTCCTGTTCATTCAGGTGTTTGTACCCAAATGTCCTTCAGTGTAAATGTGTCCACTGGAGTCTAGTCAGCCAGGGCCTTCAAGTAGTCGGATGTAAGTCATATTCTCCCTCACCCAGCAGCAGTCAGTCTCAAATAGTTCTCAATCTAGTGCTGGCCTGCTACTCATTGCTCACCTCCCCTTTGGGCCCTCATTTAATTGAGCTGACATGGGTCCTGTGCTCAACGCCATCACGGCCACAGTCTCACACAACCATGCTTCCAGTGGCCTGAAAGCCTCCACCTCATACGTTCATGAACCAGCCCTGGCTCCTACAGTCTTTCTGCCTCCTCTTCCACAGTGGTCCCTGAGCCGTGGGTGGGTGAGGTTCCATTTAAGAGTCCCATCCTATGCCTTACAGTCTCTTATCCTCTAATTTCTCTGAACTTTTAAAGACTGGCCTATATATAACATAGTTGAATATTGATACTGAAAGTTTTTTTGTGTATTTTGATTACTTCTTATTCCCAGGGCATATGAAAGTAACCTGTCCCAGAAGTGATACGTGGTGATTGCACGTATATATATATATAAATATATATATGTGCCCTTGTTTAATTGCACTGATAATGGTTCCTATATATATTATGTGTATATTTAATGTTTACATAGATTTATCTGCCTCTGCTTCCCAAGTGCTGGGATTAAATGTGTGCCACCACCATGCTTTTGCACCTTTATTTGCAGATGAAGAATCCACTCAGAGAGGTTGATTTGCTCAAGGTCACCTAGTTAGGAGGGAGTGGGGCAGAGATCTAAACTCTGGTTTAAATAAGCCCACTATCAAGGCTTCTTATTTTTTAATTATTACATTTATTTGTGTGTTTCTGTGTGGGTGAATGCTTGCCTTGGTGCATGTGGAGGTCAGAGGACGCTTGTGGGAATCAGTTCTCCCCTATCATGTGGCTCCCAGGGATGGAACTCAGGTGGTCAGGCTTGGCCGCAAGGATCTTTACCAGCTAAGCTATCTCGCCAGCTTTCTCAATAATTTTTATTATATCTCTATCCCACTTAAAACAGTTATTTGCAGAGGACCCGGGTTCAATTCTCAGCACCCACATGGTGGCTACAAACTGTCCTTAACTCCAGTTCCAGGGGAATCCGAAGCCCTCTTCTGACCTCCGCGGCATTGCCGAAATGGGTGCACTCACATACATGCAGGCAATACACTCATACACATAAAATAAAAATAATAAATAAAATATTTTTAAAAAACCAGTTATTTAAATAAAAATCTTAATTCTTGTATTTTAAAATTTCCATAGATGAAAATTTTAGCTTAACTCTTTAGAGATTCTATTTCCCTACAAATTGAAAGTGTTTTTCAAACTTTATTTTCTGTAGTCTGTGCTATAAAAATATGTTTTCTGGGGGGCTGGAGAGATGACTCAGTGGTTAAGAGCACCAGTTAGTCTTGCAGAAGACCAGGGTTCAATTCCCAGCACCCACATGGCAGCTAACAGCCCTCTATAACTCCAGTTCCAGGGGATCCAATGCCCTCTTCTGACTTCATGGGTGTTGCACAACACAATTGCACCTACCTACATGCTGGCAATGGACTCATGCATGTAAAATAAAAATAATAAATAAGGGGCTGGAGAGATAGCTCAGCAGTTAAGAGCACTGACTGCTCTTGCAGAGGACCCGGGTTCAATTCCCAGCACCCACATGGCAGCTAACAGCCCTCTATAACTCCAGTTCCAGGGGATCCAATGCCCTCTTCTGACTTCATGGGTGTTGCACAACACAATTGCACCTACCTACATGCTGGCAATGGACTCATGCATGTAAAATAAAAATAATAAAATATAAATATTTTTAAAAATTAAAAAATGTTTTCCACTTTTTCCTAATCAAAATTGATAAATGACAACTTTTGGAACTGCAAAGTTCTGCTAAGCTAGTTAGAACTCTGGGTAAAGAGAGAATGGGCCCTGAATGAAGTGCACAGATGGTTTCCTGGGAAGCAAACCAGATTACACCTGTACGTAGCTGTTGGAATATCGGATTTGTGTCTCTGATTTCTGATTTTTTTCATTTGCTGGATTATGGGAGTTAACACATAAATGTTACTAAACTTTTAAGCGTTAGTTCTAGTTGTCTTCCCCATGGCAAAGAACAGTTGGATTATAAGATAAAATTTTGTTTGAAGCAGGGCTGGTGGCACATGCCTTTATTACCAGCACTCAGGAGGCTGAGGCAGGTAGATCTCTGTGAGATTGAGGCCAGCCTGGTCTACATAGTACGTTCCAGACCAGCTAGGGCTACAGGGAGACTCTGAAAACAAAACAATTTGTTTGAGAATAACAAGAAACCAGAGATAACCTAAATATGCTGGAATATCTGGGCAATTTCTGCTAGCCTACCTTTAGCTATTTCTGAGTTGAACCACGTCATGATCAGTGTGAGTTAAATGCCAAGTGTCGAGTATAATGCAGAGCTCACCTAACCTGGAGCCTGTTCTACTGTGTCTAACTTCCCAGTCCAAAAATATGAAATCTCCAGAACTGGAAACTTCAGCATCACATCAGAATAGGGATGTATAACTGGTAAAAGTATACGCAAATATTACAAAATCTGAAAACATCCTGATTCTGTTAAATTTCTGTCTCAAGCCTTTTAGGTAAGAGATGTTCAGTCTGTGCTTGCCATTTTTTAGTGGACATCTGCATTTTAGGAAATCAGTGAGCTCATGAGTAAATTGGCTCACTTTCCTCCTCTTTCTCATCTTTCCACAGAAGCAAGCCTCTCCTGTTCAAACCCATTGTAGAATTACATTCAGAGGACCGGCTCAAGATGGGTAGGTATCCTTATAGTAGCACAGTGTCCAGCATATGAATAGTTTTGCTTCCACCCTTTAAAAAGTTGTTGTGCTTTGTGTTATACAACACGGCTTTTTTTTTTTTGAGTTGGGATCTCATTCTGCAACCCGTTTGTTTATATTATCTGCCCAGCTCCTACGGCCAATATTTCTACCAACTTTTTTGGTTTTGGTAGTGCTGGTCAAGTCCTCCACAACTGAACTATGTCCCCACTGTCCCCACCCCCACTCCCTGTTCTGCCCCACAAGCATGTAATTATGAATTTTTCTAACACTTTTATAATTTTTGAGCCTTCTAAATTGTGGTTTGGAAAAATTCTTGGGGCTGGAGAGATGGCTCAGTGGTTAAGAACACTGGCTATTCTTGTAGAAGATCCAGGTTCGAATCCCAGTACCCACCTGGTAGCTAACAACTGTCTGTAGCTCCAGTTCCAGGGGATCCAACAGCCTCTTCTGTCCTCCTGCACGACATGGGTGCACTTACCTCCATGCAGGCAATATATACATACACATAAAATAAAAATAATAAAATAAGCCGGGTGTGGTGGCGCACTCCTTTAATCCCAGCACTTGGAAGGCAGAGGCAGGCAGATCTCTGTGAGTTCGAGTCCAGCCTGGTCTACAGAGCGAGTTCCAGGCAGCTGGAGCTACAGGGAGACCCTGTCTCAAAAAGACAAAAAAAATAAAAAATAAATAAATAAATAAAATGTTACAAGAAAATTCTCTACTAGAATTTTCCCTTGTGTTCAGTTTGTGGCAGACAGAGAAGGTCAAGGGGTTTAATGGTCATTTAGGTCAGAGAACATGCTCTGAGAGAGTGGGCTTCTTTAGTGGTCAGCACAGTAAACATCAGGCCTCTGAGTAAGCCTTCCTTTGTGCATAACTGCAATGATGTCTTCCTAGTGATTGGAATCACAATAAAGTATGCAAAGAAAGCACTGCCCCAGCCTGTTTCCTGGTACAGGTGGTCAGTGGCACTTGTAATGGCTCTTTGCTTTCTCTGTTGGAGTTTTCTATCGACTTTGTTAATGTTTGTAGTACATTAGGATCTGTCATGAGTGACCTTGTACTTTGTATTACCTTTGATCAACAACACAATAATATATGAAGTAGAGAGTGAAGATCCTCCAGGACCCCATCTCCAAGATGGCAGTGTTGAGAATGCCTCTAGCCACAGAACTGCATTAGACACAGAGGAAGGTAAATAGATGTGGGGTCGAATGCCCCGTGCCTGCCTGGCACATGAAAGGTTTCATAAAGTTTTTGTTGAATGAATGTCCACACATGTTTAATAAACCTGCTCTCGTTTCAAACATACTTGTTGAATGAATGAGCCTCTACTTCTATACATAATAATGCATTAATAAACATTTAATAAATAGTAAATAATTTAAGCACATGCAACTTGCTCTTTCCATATCTAGTAGATCGCAGCAATCTTTTCATGTCGGTTTATAGAGCTGCCTTGTTGTTTTAATATTCTTAACGTCCTTCTTCATGGACATTTCATGATATTTAGCCTATTCCTTACTCCTTACTGAGGATTGTTTAGATTGTTATCTTTTTTTTTTTTTTCCGGTCTTCTTGAGACAGGGTCTCCCTGTAGCCCCAGCTGTCCTGGAACTCACTATGTAGACCAGGCTGGCCTTGAACTCACAGAGATCTGCCTGCCTCTGCCTCCCGAGTGCTAGGATTAAAGGTGTGCACCACCACGCCTGGCTGATTGTTACCTTTTTAATACTTTTATGTTAAATAATACAGCAGACATATATGTGCATATCTTGAGGAATTTCCCTTTATGAATTTTAATGGCTATGGCTAAACTGCTTTCCAAGTCTCTTTTTAATTTATATTTTTAGTAGAGTTGGAAAGGAATCTCTTTCCCTATATCCATACTAGGTGCAGTCATTAAAAAGTTTCTGCCAGTCTGCTAGACCAAACTCTTGCTGTATGATTTAAAAATTCATCTAACTAAAATGCTGTGAATTTCTTTGTTCATTTTTTTTTCTTTTTTGGGAGCATACAATAAACTAAGTTTATTAGTATTTACAAAAAACTATAGTGTGTGCAGAAGAATTCAAAATAATGAATAATGTAATTTTTTTTTCTTTTTTCTTTTCTTTTTTTTTCTTTTTTTTTTTTTTTTTTAGTGTTTTTGAGAAAGGGTCTCCCTTCAATCCCAGCTGGCTGTGTAGACACAGAGATCCACCTGCCTCTGCCTCCTGAGTGCTGGGATTAAAGACTGTGCCACCATGGCTGGCAAACTTCAGATTTCTCAGCCTGGTGTGGTGGCGCACACCTTTAATCCCAGCACTGAGGAGGCAGAGGCAGGCGGATCTCTGAGTTTGAGGCCAGCTTGGTCTACATAGGGAGTGCCAGGCAAGCTGAGGCTACAGGGACCAAACGTGTGCACCACCATGCCTGGCCTAATTTTTGTAGTTCTTTAATTTATAAAGGTATTGTTTGTTCCTTGTGAACTCTTTATTGAAATTTTTTTTAGTGTTTTTTAACTTTGTGTCTCATGAAGCAAAACTTTTCATCCATTTCTTTATACTTTTTGATCTTGACATTGTACTGAATAAAGGAAATTTGAATAAAAATGAAGTAAAAGTGTGAATGGAATTTTGGGAAAAGTGGTAGGTAATAATGAAACTAACAAAATTTAATTTAGAGGTTACCCTAGCCAGGTATGTTGGCTCCTGAAGCTTATAATCGCAGCACTCAGGAGTCTGAGGCAAGAGGATTATTCTGGGTTTGAGGCCAGCCTGTAAGGCATAGCAAGATCCTTTCTCAAAAGTGAAGTTGTTCTAGTATGTGTAAGGCCCGGGGTTTAATCCCCATCACCATAGATAAGAAAGAAGAAATTTTTATAGCACAGCTATAAATGTGGGGTACCCACTCTTCTGTAAATAAACCACTACCCTGTGCTCTGTTAAAAAAGAGAAGCTGGGCGTGGTGGCTCACAGCTTTAATCCCAGCACTCAGGAGGCAGAGGCAGGCGGATCTCTGAGTTCAAGGCCAGCCTGGTCTATGGTAGTGAGTTCCAGGTCAGCTGGGACTACAGGGGAGACCCTGTGTCAAAAAGACCCCCCAAAAATAAATAAATAAAATTAAATTTAAAAAAGAAATGTGATACTTATACACAATTAAGTTTCATTTAACCAAAGAATAAAATTGTTTATTAATAAAAAAAATGTACTGACAATTAAAGTGATAAATTATCAACTTTTAGGTGCATCATGAGGGGCTGGAGAGATGGCTCAGGGGTTAGGAGCACTGACTGCTCTTGCAGATGACCCAGGTTCTATTCCCAGCATCCACATGGCAGCTAACAACCATCTGTAACTCTAGGTCCAGGTGATACCACACCCCCTTCTGATCTCTGTGGGCATTGTGTAACATGGGTACACTTGCACACATTCAGGCAATATAGTCATACACATAAAGTAAAAATAATAAAATATTTATAGATGCATCATGATTACATTATATCACATATGTGAAAATATATGTACCTCAGAATTTATTGTATATTTTTAAAGCCACGATATGTGCGGGATAAACAGTAAAAAATACACAAACGGGCATGTAAGGGAAGTTAGAATAAGAATTTTTTTTTTTTTTTAAGGAAGTTAGTTTCTGTCTCCTCCTGCTTAAAACCTACTGGGAGGATGAGGAGTGGGGACCTGACCATTACCCGCTCTGTCTTTGAGCACTTGGCACTTCGGTGTCCCTTGGTCTAGGTCTTGCTTGACAGACATCTCATCACTAGTCTCTCAGCTCACCCAGCTACCTCCTCATAGGGTCCCCAGCCTCTAGACTTAAGATGGCTCTCTCCCCTCCATATGCATTCCTCGTGTGGCTTTGCCACACTTGGGTGTGTTTACCCTACACCTTTCCTGATGGATTATAAGCCCCATGAGGTCAGAGGCCTCATCTTTGTGGGGCTTGTTTTTGTGTTTTAGTCAGGGTTCTGCTAGGTAGCTTGGGCTGGCCTGGAACTTATGTTTCTCCTGCCTGTGCCTCCCAAGTGCTGGGATCACAGGCACATGCACAGATTAGACCATGTCCTCTTGCTTATCTTTGTATTCCCAGGTTGACTCAGTGCCCAGTGATAGTGAGAACACAGCTTCAGATGGGTGGACAGGTAGACAAATTAAACTTTTCTTATTTTTGTTTTATATGAATGAGTATGTTGTCTGCATGCATGTAAGTGCACTCATGTCATGCAATACCCTCAGAGGTCAGAAGAGAGTTGGATTTCCATGGAACTAGAGTTAGCCACCATGTGGGTGCTGGGAATCGAACCCAGGTCATCTACATGAGTTGCCAGTGCTCTTAACCACTGAGCCGTCTCTCCAGCCCCACAAATTAGCTTTGTATATTGTCCAGAAATTCACCTGAGACTGATTCCCTTTTACCTTTTTGTTTTGTTTTGTTTTGTTTTAAATTTAAATAAAATGTCCTGGGAAAACCTCTGATCTGAAAAGAACATTTTGCAATCTTTAAAAAATTAGCCAGGCCTGGTGATGCACCCCTTTAATCCCAGCACTTGAGAGACAGAGGCAGGCAAATCTCTGAGTTCAAGGGCAGCCTGGTCTACACAGTGAGTTCTAGGCCAAAGATTAAAAAAAATATAATAATAATGATAATAAAAATAAATAGGTCTTTCATATAATGAATTGGGTTGGTAGAATTCAGTTCAGATTAACACACTTTAAAAAAATACTTGAAATACCTTTCTTGAAATATCAGCTCCATGGAATCACTATGCACACATGTGTGTGTCATTTACGTACCTTGTAGCATTGTTCAGGTCTGCACTTTCCTCGTGCCTTTTCCTGAGCTGGTGAGCTTCAGAAGACAGATAATCAAAGCTTGTGTCCATTAGCCTTTGCTCTGCAACAAACATGTGGTCCAACAATCATGTGCAACAATCATGTGGTCCAGAGCAACTGCCATCTGTTTAGCTCATGAGT